AAAAAAAAAAATTCTTTAATGAAGCTGGGTCTGGTAGTTGATGTCTGAAATCCTAGCTATTCAGGAGACTGAGATTAAAATATTAAGGTTTGAAGCTAACATGGGCAAAAAAGTCTATGATATTTCATTTTCAATTAAGCAGCAAAATGCCAGTCTAGAAGCATGGCTCAAAAGTAGAGTCAGCTGTGACAATAAGTCTAAGCAAGAGCCTTTAGGCCCTGAGTTTATGCCCAGTACAAGCACCAAAAAATAAATAAATAGTTTTTAGCCTCAAGTAGTCTAAACTTATTTATCATTTGGTTACTATACTGTTAAATAGCTGTAGTGTCACAAATGCTAGGCAAGTTTATGGGTCTGGTTAAAAAATAAGTAAAATTCAACATTAACAAATGAACAATAGATATATGTTTGTTTCTGTTTTGAAGCATACAATATCAGCATTGCACTGGTCTCCTCGAGTGAAGGATTTAATTGTGTCTGGGGATGAAAAAGGAGTTGTATTCTGTTATTGGCTTAACAGAAATGACAGCCAGCACCTCTTTATAGAGCCCAGGACAATTTTCTGTCTTACTTGTTCACCTCACCATGAAGATTTAGTGGCCATTGGGTAAGTATTGTGCCATCCATATTAACACTTTCTTTTTGTTAATGACTTTCATTTGCATTTCATATTAATATTCCTCAGAAGAAACTACAGGTGTTAACTGCCTCTCACATCTCTGGTCATCTTGTGATCTCCAGGTCCCATTCCTTCTTTTTGCTTTCCTTTCCATTTCGCTATACTTCGCTTGATCGCTTGTTTTATTACTTTATACTAGGGATGAGGGGGAATGTCTGGCCCTAAGGCCTTGACATCCTTAAAATCCTTAAAATCATTTGGTTTAAGACAAGTGCAGGTGGGACTCAAAACCACCAGAAAACAACCAGAAGTGGTGCTGTGGCTCAAGTGGTATAGTGCTAACCTTGAGCTGAAGAGTACAAGGCCCAGAGTTCAAGACCCACAACTGACAAGGGAAAAAAAAAAGTGTACACACACACACACATACAGACTTTTTCACGAAGTTTGTTGCAAAAATAGGCAGAGACATAATCCCAAGGACATATGTAGAAATGGAACTTAGTAGCGAATGTTTCCATGCTGGTGTACAAGGCACACATGGAGAGCTTATTACAGGAGTAAAATGAAAAGTAGAAGTTAAGGGGGCTACATCCAAATGACAAGTAGAAACAGTTGAGAATAGAGGAATGAATAAAAGTAGATTTATTCGTCTGTTTGGAACTATAGAGTTTTACATTTTGTGGCATCTGGTTTTCTTGGAGGTATAAGTCAGAGGTGGGGTCAAATCAGAATTACATTGGGGAAGAAAGCATGAACACTGTCAGAACAAGGAAATTAACAGGGAAATAACCTAGAGAAATTGAAGTGCAGTGTTCAGTTAGGGAGTTTTGTGAAGTAGGGAAAGAAGGTAAGAGGGATAATGGAGTTTGAGGTTTTAATGGTTTTGTTTCATTTTGTTCCTTTGGTAGTACAGAAGTTTGAACTAAGAACATTGTACTTAGTAGGGAGGCCCCCTACCACTTGAACCCATCCCCACCCAAGTTCAATAATAGTGTTTTATTTTGCCAGTCTTGGGGCGGGTACTGTCCCTAAGCCTCTCCTTGCTCAGCGTTCTACCACTTGAGCCACAGCACCACTTCCAACTTTTTCTGTTTATGTAGTACTAAGGAATCGAACCCAGGGCTTCATGCATGCAAGACAAGCAGTACCACTAAACCACATTCCCAGCCCAATAATAGTGTTTTAAAGAGGCACTATAAAAGTAGATCATGAAATCTGCTATGTTGCTTGTGGGGAAAGGTGAGAAGTAGAAAGGGCTGAGTGACAGTGAAAATATAAGGGATCTGTGCACTAGCCGTGTGATGAAATGAGAACATTGCGACAGGGGGGAATTAGAGTGCACAGAATGGGAAGTCCACATCTTCAGAGATTGACATTCTATTTCTGTTTTGTTTTTTTTAATATATAATAGTGCTTTTCCCTATAGAATTATACTAGTGTTTCTGGAATTGTCAGATAAGTAGGGAATATAAATAGGTACTACCACCTAATAGAATGGTTTTCAATTCCTTTCTTTTTTCTTTTTTTTTTTTCCTTGCCAGTCCTGGGGCTTGAACGCAGGGCCTAGGCACTGTCGCTGAGTTTCTTTTTCTCAAGGCTAGTGTTCTACAGCACCACTTCTGGCTTTTTCTGTTTATGTGGTACTGAGGAATTGAACCCAGAGCTCCAAGCATGCTAGGCAAGCAGTCTACCACTAAGCCACATTCCTCGCCTCAGTTTTCTATTTCTAGTAAAACAAAGGTTATATCTCATATCTTTATAGTTTTGTTACTAGATATTAAACCTGAAATTGCCCTAGGCATGTGTAAGAACATTAATAGCTGCCTTTTTGTTTGTAGTAGCAAAAAGAATAAGTAAAAGTGGAAACCCTTTAAATGGAATATGAATAAACTGGTATTGGTCATGGACCATAGCACTAATAACAGAAGTGTAGGTGACTGGCCAAGAATTAATTACATTTGTAAACATGCCTGGCTCACAAATGATGTAAATAGCAAGCTTCACAAAAATAGACTGCATGATACCATTTATATAAGGGTTTTTAAAATATAATCTGTGTCTTCTTTATTAATATATACAAAGAAAGACAAGGAATAAAACAACAGCAAATTCAGAAATAGTGATTTATCTCTGGGAAAGAGAAGTTTCATTGAGATGGGTCATTTTTTTCTTTAGCTAGCAGTCTACCAACTTGAGGCACTTACAGCTTCTTTTTGGTGGTTAATTGGAGATAAACTTTAATGCCTAGTCTGGCTTTGAACTGCAGTCTTAGACCTCAGCCTTCTTGGTAGCTAAGATTACATGCATGTACCTCTAGCACCCAGAAAATCATCATAAGTAACTACTTTCTCAGTTTCTTGTGAATTAACAAAATGACAGTTGTTGCATATACAACTTTTTTTGAGTTTGTAGGTAGAAAAGTAGCAGCATTTCTAAAACAAACTCATGCAGTAGGACAGTTAGATCTCTTAATTGGAGGAATTGCTGGACGTCTGTCAGTTTCCTTAGAAAGGGGTGAGGAACCATTTTTCTGCCTGAGGCCATTTGGATATTTATAACCTTATTCATGCGCCACACAAAATTATTAACAGACACGCCACAGGCACTGACAACAAGCATAACTACATGTCTTTTCTGCCTTCCTCAGTATAAAAGCACGCTCCCCCACCATGGCAAATTTTGGCCAGTCAATAATAGTATTAGTTAGTGCCAAGAGGGGAGGAAAAAACAAAACCAGGAAGCATGAAATGAACACATTGGTAGCCAGGCACCAATGGCTGAGGCCTGCACTCAGGATGCTGAGATCTGAGGATTGATGTTCAAACCAGCCCAGCCAGGAAAGACTATAAGAGTCTTATCTCTCCAACCCCTCACCAAAAAGCCAAAAGTGGAAGTGTGCTTTAAGAGGTAGAGCGCCACTTTTGAGCATAAAAGCTAAGGGACAGCAGCCAAGCCCTGAGTTCAAGCTCCAGTATCAGCACAAAAAAATAACAATAATAAATGAAATGAATCAGTTTAGAAGTAAAAAAAAAAAAAGAATGATTATTCTCTTCTTCCTTACCCCAGATGCACTTTGCCAACTTTGAGATGCCACCATACGAACCCCTGAACCTGTTTACTACAAAGACTATTCTTGTCTTCATTGTTCAGTAATATTTCTAACTCTTGTTTTTTAGCTACAAGGATGGCATAGTGGTTATAATTGACATCAGTAAGAAAGGAGAAGTTATTCACAGGCTCCGAGGCCACGATGATGAGATCCACTCCATAGCCTGGTGTCCCCTACCTGGTGAAGATTGCTTATCCTTAAACCAAGAGGAAAATTCAGGTAGAAATGATGGAAGGAAGAGATCAGTTTTCTAGACCTAAAAGTAAAGTGGGTAGGATCATGTCATATGAATTATATTAAAAACTAGGTTTCTCAGATTAGGCCTGTGAAACAGATAGCTAACTCTTGGAATCTTTGCAAGCTAACTTTGCTTTCATAAGTACAAGTTTAAACAAATTAGAAACAAAATTACCATCTCTCTCCTAGAAGAACCGGAAATTACCAATGGGAAAGTTAAAACAGAAACTCCAGAAACAAAGGGCTGCTACTTAGCCACTGGAAGCAAAGATCAGACAATTCGAATCTGGAGCTGCTCTAGAGGAAGAGGTAAGGCTGATGTTTGCTGTTTGTTTTGTGATAGAGATTATATTGATGTGGCACAATTACCTGCTTTCCTTCTTTCTTGTTCCAACAATGTGTAGCATTTGTTCCTTACTTTCTTGACAAGAAACTTGCTGCATGTGTATGTGTGTGTGTGTGTGTGTATGTGTGTTTTTTAATTGTGAAGGTGATGTACAGAGGGGTTACAGTTACATAAGTAAGGTAATGAGTACATTTCTTGTTGAACATTGTTACCCCCCTCCCATGATTCCTGAGTTAACCCTGGGTTAAACCTGAACATTTGTCTTTTGTGTCTTGTGTTAAGACTGATCCATCCCAGGAGAAAGCAAGGACCCTACCCCCCTTTTTTTAGCATTGAGAGCAAGATACTTATTAGGACAGGAATATTGGAAAGTAGCAAAGCTCTAGTCAGAAATAGAAGAGATCGCCGGGCGCTGGTGGCTCACGCCTGTAATCCTAGCTACTCAGGAGGCTGAGATCTGAGGATCATGGTTCAAAGCCAGCCCAGGTAGGAAAGTCCATGAGACTCTTATCTCCAATAAACCACCACTAGAAAACCGGAAGTGGTGTTGTGGCTCAAGCGGTAGAGCACTCGCCTTGAGCTGAAGAGCTGAGGAACAGCGCCCAGGTCCAGAGTTCAAGTCCCATGACCGACAAAAAAAAAAAAAGAAAGATATAGAAGAGATCTATAAAGTTAGAGCTTATGGTACACAAAAACAGAGTAAATAATATATATCCAGCATATAGGTGTATGTTTACTCATAAATACTCACTGTTCAAATTAAGCAAAAGTCTACATTGAGACAACTGGCTGAGAAACCTCAGAAACACAACCTCTAAACTTACAGCTACTAGTTCTGGTTGTACAGCAGAATCACTTGGAGAGTTTGAAAAATTATGAGCTTCTGGATCCTTTGACTTACTGAATTAAGTCTCTAATGTATGTTGACGTGTATATTTTTAAAAGCTTCACTTGTGGTTCTTTTTTTTTCTTAGACTGGGACTCCAACTTGGCTGGTGCTTTATTACCTAAGCCAGGCCTCCAGTCCCATGGTTCTGATGTATAATACGAAGTAGGAAGTGCATTCTTACCACAACATGTTGATTGCCAAACTTTAACCTTTTGGTAGATTTATGGCCAGCTGCTTTTCCAATTTAGATATATCATGGATTGTGTTGCCACCTTAGGTCTCAATAATGTCTCAATGGGAAAATGAGGTGTATTTTGTTTTTTGGGTTTTTTTTGGTTGTGGTACTTGAACTCTGGGCTTGGGCACTATCCCTGAGCTCCTCAGCTCAAAGCTAACACTCTACCACTGAGCCACAGTGCCACTTCTGGCTTTTTTCTACTTATGTGGTGCTGAGGAATCGAACCCAGGGCCGCATGCATGCAAGGCAAGCACTCTACCACTGAGCCACTTTCCCAGCTAAGGTATTCATTTTATTTAACTAAGCAAACAGTAACTTTTAATTCACAGGTCCTGTACTATGAACCATCAGTGACTTCAAGTACCAAGTGTCACTTACTAATGACTTCATATGTAAGTTGTCAATATCTTAAGTGCTTACTGACTTTCTTTTAATTTCTAGGAGTGATGATTTTGAAATTGCCCTTCCTGAAAAGAAGAGGAGGAGGCATAGACCCAACTGTTAAAGAACGCCTTTGGGTGACACTCTATTGGCCCAAGAATCAGCCAACACAGCTGATATCCAGTTGTTTTGGGTAAGTCTTTTGGGTCATGCTTTCTGTTTGCCTTGGTGGGTCCCAGACTTCTTCTTGTAGGACAGAAGCTGGGGAAAGTGATTGCCAAGACTTGTATAATTGTCAGGAACCATTTACCCTTCTGGTATTCTGAGATGGGATCTTACCATATAGCCAAGGATGGCCTTGAACTTAACTTTGCTTCTGCTTCAGCCTCCCAAGTGATGGAATTACAGGCATAGCCCACCATGCCCAGCTATCTATCATGAGCCATTTGAAATAGAAAAACCATGAGTTTTGTGCTATGGCTACTGACAGAATTGTGCAAAGGTCAAATAACTTACAGCCTGGTTGTTAAGACTGTAGACTCAGATGCAACTGAATTTCAGATTCATTTGGCTACTTACCTGCTTTTTGTTGAAGAAGACACTGTGTCACTGAGCTTTTTTACTTACTTGTCTAGAAATGTGATTGGAGCCAGGCACCAGTGGCTCATGCCTGTAATCTTAGCTACTCAGAACACTGAAATCTGAGGATCAACTTTCAAAGCCAGCCCAGGCAGAAAAGTCCCTCTGAGACTCTTATCTCCAATTAACCACTCAAAAACTGAAAGTGGAGCTGTGGCTCACGTGGTAGAGCATGACCCTTGAGTACAAAAAAGTTCAGGGACAGCACCCAGGCCCTGAGTTCAAGCCCAGCACCTGACCAAAAAAAGAAAAGGAAATGTAATTGGATAGTGTTATTTCCCATCTTTTGGGATTGTTATGCCTATTCAATAAACAGAATTTATTGAGCATTTATGATGCTGCAGAGCATGCACTGGATACCCTCTAATTCTCTGTAGCACTGATTGTAAATCTTGTCAGTACTGTTAGAATAGCATGTCAGGAGCCAGACTGATGAGCCAGATACTCTTCTGAAAAATGATTTCATGTGGTAGATTCAGTTTCCCACATGTCAGTTGGTCATTCTGCTTCTTGTCAGAAAATCTCTAGGGCTCAGAAAAACATTCAAGCTGTCTATTAAACTATACTGTAGCCATTTTGATTTTTATCAAAGGAACAATTAAGCCAGACATTAGTGGCTCATGAGTATAATCCTCACTTAGGTGACTGAGATCTGAGGATTGTGGATCAAGACCAGCCCAGGCAGGAAAGTCCATGAGACTTGTCTCCAATTAAGCAGTGGTAAACCCAGAAGTAGAAGTATGGCTTAATAGTCAGTATCATCCCTAAGGGAAAGCCAAGGGAGAGCAAGAGGCCCTGAGTTCAAGCCCCAGTTCTGACACACACGAAAGAAAAACAATGAAATTATCTTACTACAACTAATAACTCAGGCCGTTGCTCATCAATAACAAATTCCAGATTGCTTGTGAGAGAGAATTAATGCTTTTGTTCTTCCTTCATAGAGGCGAACTGCTGCTGTGGGATCTCACCCAGTCTTGGAGACGGAAATATACCCTTTTTAGTACATCAGCAGAAGGACAGAATCACTCCAGAATTGTGTTTAATTTATGTCCTTTGCAAACTGAAGATGACAAACAGCTGCTACTTTCTACATCAATGGATAGAGATGTAAGAACTGGTTTGTTTCAACCAGCCTCATGGAACAGTGATTTCTAATTTGAGTGGGATTAAAAGGGGTCAGTCATCATCCCTGTTTTATTTCAAACCTCCTTCCTATTAGTGATCAGTATTAAAAATGTCAGCCATACACAGAGAAGGAAATCTCCTGAATATAAGATACTTTGTGTTTAAGACAGCAGCTGTTTAATTTTTATTTTTCTCTTGTGTTGACATTGTCATCCTTATTCAGTTTGCTGAATGAAACCACCAGTGCTATATATAATAGAGTGAAAAAACCATTGATAGAATTCAATGGCTAGGTTCTGGTTTCTCAATTATACGATGCTTAATTTACTGGCCCTTCTTGGAAATAAATAAGCTCCAAAACTCCTTTGAGCTGTAAAGTGTTGCTCTTTTTTGGGAGGTCATGTGGCTTGAACTTGGGCCTGGGCACTGTCCCTCAGCTCTTCAGCTCACATTGAGTGCTCTATCTCTTGAGCCAGAGCTCCACTTCTGATTTTCTGGTGGTTAATTGGAGCTAAGAGTCTCAGACTTTCGTGCCCCGGCTGGTTTTGAACTGCAGTCCTCAGATCTCAGCCTCCTGAGTAGCTAGGATCATAGGCATGAGTCACCTGCACCAGCTTGTTGCTCTTTTTTTAATGCTAAAAGATGTTTGTTGCAATACCTATTATAAGTGCTATTACTATCTTTGCTCCCATACATTTGGAATATTGATGTCTCTTTCTTATTTTTCTGCTCTTTTTTTTTTCTATATTTAAGCTGCCCTAACTCTTAATCATTTCAGGTCAAATGTTGGGACATGGCCACCCTAGAATGCTGCTGGACCCTGCCTTCCCTTGGTGGGTTCGCCTACAGCCTGGCTTTTTCTCCTGTGGATTTAGGCTGTTTAGCCATAGGCGTTGGGGACGGTATGATCCGTGTATGGAATACACTATCCATAAAGAACAACTATGATGTAAAAAATTTTTGGCAAGGTGTCAAATCCAAAGTTACAGCGGTAAGGATGCTTTCCTTTAAGCTTTTTTTTTTCTTTTCTTCAAATAGGTAATTGTTTTTTAAAAAGGTTATCTGCTTATTTAATGAACTCTGGGAAATCAAAAGTTAAAATTTTGGGGGTTTTTTGGTGGAATTTGAAACTAGGAAAATACAAGCACCCATTGTCCTCACATTCAATATTTAAAATTATTAAAACTTTGTTCATTTGTTTTAATAGTTCGAAATTAGAGCCAGGTATGGTAGCTCACACTTGTAATCCTAGTTACTGAAGAGGCACAGAGGATTATGATTTAAGGCTGGCCCAAGCAAAAAGTTCACAATACTATATCTCAGTCAATAGCTGACCCCAGTAAATTTTACTTTTTTTTTTTTTTTTAATGTCGATCGTGGGACTTAAATTCGGCCTGGGTGCTTTCCCTCAGCTCTTCAGCTCAAGTCTAGTGCTCTACCACTTGAGCCACAGTGCCACTTCCATCTTTTTCTGCTTATGTGGGGCTCAGGAATTGAACCCAGGGACTCGTGCATGCAAGGCAAGCAAGCACTCTACCACTGAGGCACCTTCCCAGCCCCCACTTCCCATTTTCTGAGTGGTTTATTGGAGATAAGAGTCTCATGGACTTTCCTGTCCAGGCTGGCTTTGAACTGCAGTCCTCTGATCTCAGCCTCCTGAGTAGCTAGAATTATAGTGCCTCTGGGCACTCAACTACATTTTGCTTTTTATCTCAGCTACTCAGAAAGGGTAAAAAGAAAGATTGTGGTCCAAGCTGCCCTGATCATAAACATAAAACTCTACTACAAATTTGACTAAAGCAAAAAGCGGGGTGTGTGGCTCAATTGGTAGAGCACCTACCTAACATGCAAGAGGCCCTGAGTTTAAGTGCTAGAATAAACAGGAGGGAAGAATGTGAAGGAAAGGAAGGAGGTAAAGAAGGAAGGGAGGAGTTATGATATAATCACATACTAGAATGATGTGAAGTATTAAATGAAGAGGTTGCAGGTATTTATATGCAAGATACTGATGATTTACTAAAGCAAATTTTAAAATGTGGAATTCAGGTTAGAATACATGTATGTATAACTTTTGTCCTCTAAAATGATACTTAGATGGCCGTTTAGTTTTAAGTAGTATGTTTGACTTTAAAACAATATAAAAGTGTTTAGAAATGAATCCATTTTTTTCTCATCATTTTTCTAATACATATACCACTTACAAAATCCAAAGAACTGTTGTTGACCATTTTAATTATTAATTTGTTAATTTAATCTTTTATCTCTGGTCCATAGGCTATTGTGCATATCATCTAAATGTTTGGACTCTTTCCCTGCCCCCCCCCACTCCCCCTTTTGGTCAGTGAGCTTGAACTCAGGGTCTAGGTACTGTCCCTGAGCTCTTGCTCAAGGCTAGTGCTGTACTACCATGAGCCACAGCACCACTTGAGTCCTTAACTGGAGATAAGAGTCTTATGGGAATTTTTCTGCCTGGGCTAGCTTCAAACAATGATCCTCAGAACTCAGCCTCCTGAGTAGCTAGGATTACAAGTGTGAGCCACCAGCACCTGGCTGAACTCTTTTTAAAACTGTTTTGTCTATATGAGCTTAGTCCCCCAAGATACCAGCAAAGTGGGAAGCAGAATTGGTTTTTTTTTTTAAAAAAAAAAAAAGCACCATTTGAGGATGTTGAGAATCCCAAGTTACTTCAAATTTGTTTTTAAATAATTTTTTTTTTTGTCATGTGGGGCTTGAACTCAGGGCCTAGGTGCTGTCTCTGAGTTTTTGTGCTCACTCTTTGTGCACTTTTGTGCACTCTCACTTTGAGCCACAGTATCACTTCTGGTTTTCTGTGGCTAACTAGAGATAATAGTGTCATGGACTTTTTTTTTTTTCTTTTTTGCCAGTACCGTGGCTTGAACTCGGGGCCTAAGCACTGTCCCTCAGCTTCTTTTGCTCAAGGCTGGCACTCCACCACTTGAGTGACAGTGCCACTTCTGGCCTTTTCTGTTTATATGGTACTGAGAAATCAAACCCAGGGCTTCATGCATGCTAGGCAAGCACTCTGCCACTGAGCCACATTCCTAACCCATCAAGGACTTTCTTGCCCCAGCAGTCTTTGAAGTTTGATCATCAGATCTCAGCCTCTTGAGTTCCTAGGATTACAGTCCTGAACCACTGGCACCGGCTTTTTTTTTTTTAAATAAATAAGCTGGGTACCAATGGTTCACACCTGTAATCCTAACTACTTAGGAGGCTGAGATCTGAGGATCAGTTTGAAGCCAGCCTCGGCAGAAAAGTCCCTGTGAGACTCTTTATCTCCAATAAGCTACTCAAAAAAAAAGAAAAAAAGCCAGAAATGAATCTGTGGCTCAAGTGGTAGAGCACTAGCCTAGAGCCCAAAGAGGCTCAGAAATAGTGCCCAGGCCCTGAGTCAAGCTCCAGGAACAGCCAAAAAACAAAATGAAACAAAATAAATAGAAACTTTGAAGAAATCAAGGGCAAAAAGTCTGAATATTGTAAGAATTCTTGGGGTTCAAGTTATGGTTCAGTTGGTAAGACACTAGGCAACGAATGGAAGTATCAGGTACCAAGTCCCAGTCTTGGACCTAAAAACGAAAAGATTTATCTGCACTGTATTCCCCTTTTCTTACATGTTCTCATTTGGAAACTTTTCTTACAGCTGTGCTGGCACCCAAATAAAGAAGGTTGTTTGGCTTTTGGAACTGATGATGGAAAAGTGGGATTGTATGACACCTATTCTAACAAGTAAGAACTTGGTGATGCTTACATATTAGCCCCCTGAGCAACCAAAATGTCAGGATGAATTTGATTTTGAGTTCATAAACCTATATCAGTATTATCTGGAAGACTTTTTAAAGTAAGAGTCTGCCTCGATGACTAGGATTCTGAACTCAAAAATAAATGTTTCCTTATTTATTTTAGTGCCAGTCCTGGAACTTGAACTGAGAGCACTGTGCCTGACTGTTTTTCTCAAGGCTAGCACTTTACTACTTGAGCAACTGCTCAACTTCCAGGTTTTGGAGGATAAATGGAAATAAAGACAATTAACAGATGTTTCTGCCCAGACTGGCTTTGAGCCTCCATGCTCATTACCTCAGCCTCCTGAGTAGATAGGATTACAGGCACCTGGCCAGAGTTATTTATTTGTTATTTATTTGCTTCCTTCCTTACTTAAACAGTCCTGGGACTTGAACTCAGGGCCTGGGTGCTGTCCCTGAGATTTTGTGCTCAAGGCTACTGCTCTACTACTTGAGCTGCAGCTTCAGTTCAGTTTTTTTAATAGTTAATTGGAGATAAAAGTCTTACTGACTTTCCTGCTGGGGTTGGCTAGAACCTGGATTGTCAAATCTCAGCCTTCTTGGTAGCTAGGATTACAGGAGCCATAGGCTTCTGGGTCAGAAATTTGTTTTGTTTTTTTTAATCTTTGGGGAGGGAGAGGGAGTAGAGAAAGGTACACATTACCTGAATTGTGAAATAGTAACCCTTCTGTACAACACCTTAATAACAATAAAATATATATATATTTTCAAATGGAACTAATTTGGCATTTACATACCACCAAAATAAACTATTTTCTTTCAAAAACTTTCACGCCTTTATGAAGTTGAAAGTTACATATTCAATTAGGTGCTGGTAGCTCATGCCTGTTACCATAGCTACTCAGGAGGCTGAGTTCAAAGCTCAGACAGGAAAGTCTATGAGTTTGGAGGCCAGGGCTGGGCCTTTTCTGACCATAGTCAGCACTGTTCTTCATGTCTTGGTTCTCAAAAAAACGTAAGTTGTCCAGGCATTTGGTTGCTCATAATTGTAGCTACTCAGGAGGCTGAGATACGAGGATTAAGGTTTGAAGCCAGCCCAGGCAAGAAAATCTATGGCAAGAAAGTCTGAATTCAAGCCCTAGTACTAGCAAAAAAAACAAAACAAGCTGTGCCTTCTCTTTGTCCTTTTAACAATTTTGACATTTTCTCATACTTGTTTTATCTGTATGTTTCTATAAAAACACAGAAACATATGAAGCAAAGCTGCCAGCATGATGACCCTTGTATAATTTTAAGAATATTCTCCCATTATCAGCTATAACACTTTATTACACTTAAGAAAATTAAGGGGTTGGGAAAGGTGGCTCAG